GACTGCCCATAACATGGTGCATCGGTGCACTATCAAGGTGCATCGATACCCCTTCATTAAATTCAAATAAACTAGTTGTTGCAACCTTCGTGCATGGATGGACATCAGAATGCATCGATGCACAGCCTTGATGCATCGATTCACTAATTTCATTCGGTGTTTGAGTGCATGGATGCACTGCATGGTGCATGGATGCACTAGTGCAGGTGCATGGATGCATTGCAGGGGTGCATGAATGCACTTTGACACCCTTTAGCATTTTGGCTCAAATCCGAATTTAATGGACTTTGAATTAGTTTTGAAACCTTTTAAAACTTTGAATAAATTCAATTAAGTCCAAAAACATTTTGTAAATTCAATTCAAGTCCAAAAACCATTTTCCTTAAATTGTTATATCAAAACATAGTTCAACAGTTGGAGCCCAGAAATTTGTCTGAAGCTTACAGGCAGGCCAAACTTTATGAGTTGACTAATGAGATGAAAGGAAATAAGTATAAATATTCTTAAAAAAAATTTCCTTATACTCCATCAAGTGGCCAACAGAACAATGGGATTAAAAGTTTGCAGCCTAAGACAACTATTCCAAATTCAAAAACAAGACAGAGTTTACTGGAATATCGTAGAGCAAATAATTTGTGTTTTAAATGTAGGGGAAAATTGCTCCTGGACATCAATGCAAAGTGAGACAGTTGAACATTATGGAAGAGGAGGAAGATTCTGCTGATCAGGAATTGGCAGAAGGAGAAAATGGAGAAGGGAATGATGTAACTAAAGAAGCATTGGAAATTTCTATCAATGCTATTACAGGTAATGTGGGGCACATTACTTTGCGAATTCAAGGTTTTATCAGAGGAAAACCACTTAATGTGCTAATTGATAGTGGAAGCACACATAGTTTTGTGACTCCTAAGTGGGCTAAAGAAGGAGTGGAACTTGTTCAGACTCAACCATTAGTTATTATAGTAGCTAATGGGGAGAAACTATTCAGTACTTCCAAAAGCAATCAAGTGAGTTGGAAGATGCAAGGCTATGAATTTTAGTATGATTTCAGAGTTGTCTTTAGGGGGAAGTGATATGGTACTGGGAATGGACTGGATGGAAGAGTTTAGCCCTATAATGATGGATTTCAAAGCCAAGACAATTAGTTTTGAAAAGGATGGAAAGACTGTTATGATTAGAGGAACTTAGAAATTACCAATCATCAAACCAATCTCAGGTAAAAATTATAGAAGTTAGTTGAAAAGGATACTGAAGTGAATGGGGAAATCTATTTGTTGAATGCTGAAGTAGAGGAAAGTAAAATTCCTCTACCCTTACAAGATTTATTAAAGGAGTTCCAGGAAGTGTTTGAGGAACCTAAGGGAATGCCTCATAACAGAAGACATGATCATGCCATTGTTCTGAAACAAGGGACACAACCAGTCAATCTAAGACCCTATAGATTTGCTCATCATCACAAGACTAAAGTTGAAAAACAGATTGCTCATATGTTAGCCTCATCTATCATAGAAGTAAGTAAGAGTCCTTTTGCTTCTCCTTGTTTACTTATTAGAAAAAAGGATGGAACTTGGAGGTTTTGTGTGGACTATAGGCATCTTAACTCTTATACAGTTAAGAATAAATTTCCTATTCCTATAGTAGAAGATTTATTAGATGAATTACATGGGGCTAAATTCTTTTCAAAGATTGATTTGAGATCTGGTTATTGGCAAATTCGGATTAAAGATGAGGATATTCATAAAATTGCATTTAGAACTCATCAAGGGCATTATAAATTTAAAGTTATGTCTTTTGGACTTACTAATGCCCCAACTACTTTTCAAGCTTTGATGAATGACTTATTTGGAGCATATTTGAGGAGGTTTGTCCTTGTGTTTTTTGATGATATTCTGATTTATAGTTCCAGTATGATAGAGCATAAAAATCATTTAAGAGTGGTGTTGGAAATCCTGCTGAAGAATAGTTTGTATGCCAAAAAGAGTAAATGCTTTTTTGTCCAACAACAAGTAGAGTATTTGGGACATTTAATTTCAGCTAAGGGAGTAACAACTGACCCTGAAAGAAGAAAGACTATGCAACAGTGGCCTTTGCCTAAAAATCTAAAAGCTTTGAGAGGATTTTTGGGTTTGACATTTCATTTTCTAGTTCATTAGCAGCTGCTAAAGCTGAAAAAGATCCCGAGGAATTAGTCTACATAGCACCACTAGTAGCCGAACCAAAAGTGCCCTCTGGAGCTAATCTGGTGCTTGAATCTGGTACGGAACTTGTGTAACACTGGAAGCTAGGTTGACACAAGGTAGTATGGTAAGTGAGGGTGACTCAAAAATAGAATTACTTGGCAACAAAGAACTTGTAAACAACAAAGAGGAATATCTACTCATCAAAGGCAATGCGTCGTGATATAAACACTCGTGCATTGGCTGAACGACACTGATAAACATGATATGCGGGTGAATATCCGATAAAGACACACGGTTGAGGACGGTAATCCTGCTTGTGTCTGTTATAGGGTCGAATATACGAATAACATCAACTCTGGAATATCAAGAGAATTTGGTGAAACATCAAACATGTAGAGTCCACCTTCCTAAACCCCTTTCAACAACACTCTTCTAATGTGCTCATGCTTCACATGGTACTCATTCAAATGAAACTCAAAAAATATTTCATTATCCTTAGCAGTTTTAGACATCAAAAAAAGATTCCTTGTAATTCGAGGAACATGCAACATATCATTAATGGCGACTTAGTTAACATGCTATTTAGGACTGTATAATATGACCAATAGTCAAAGTCGAATCATCATCAATATGTATCTTACCTGAACCAGTATGGCTGCAAGATGCTTGCAATGGTTTCAAGTCATTCATCACGTGGTGCGTCGCTCCCGAATCAAGGTACCAAGTGGTGTTTGCTATCTCTTAACTTGGTCCTATCAAACAAAAAACTTGAGTAGTGTCAACTTGTGGAGCATCTTTATCTGAGTCGAGACCTGCAGGGGGATTAAACAGGCATTACATTGATACTTATAGGAATCATTTGAGCAGAAACATGCATTAACATTGGCTTGTTGATCAGTGGATTGTTTTTACTGATGTGGAGAGGAAGGGCTTTCCAAATTCTGGTCGAAACAATGCCAGCATCGATTGACGAGGTGCCCTAATATTCCACATAATCGACATTATGGTCGTGACCTAGCATGACTCCATCCTCCGGTACGTGCACCAGACCTATCCCCTCACGCCTTGTAGTTAGATTGATGCCTCCTTTTACCACTTACGCCATCATTAGAACCTCCACATATTGTGAGGAGTGAACACTTGTTGGTATATGCATGGTAACAGTGATATGAGACTCCATATACACAAGAAAAGATGCAAACCCATTGAGAGTATACGGTTCACCACTTGTGATTACTGATACAAACGAATCACATTCCATGATCAAGCCATTCAAGATTGTTGCAATATGTTCCACCTCAGTGACCGGATTACCACACAGTACCAACAAGTCACAACTTTCCTTTACCTGCATTATGAAATTTCTCATATTCTGATTTCATTTCTTTAACGATCGAAGTCCGCAATGTAGGTGTATTATTGTGGTATTCGAGACAACTTTTACGGGCACCGACAACTCATTATCGATAAAGCTCTTAAGTCTGAGACCTTGAATCATGAAGGTAACTTGTTGTTTCAGGTAGTTGGAGTGGTCAAGGCGTACAGTTACTCGTTTGTTGGAGAAGACTTGCGCTGATTGATCATCTACATTCTATGTAGTAACAAGTACTGTATCTTCACTAGTAGGGAAACTGGGGTGTTTCCATTGAAGTTTGAATTTTAGTATTTTCATATAATATATATATAAATGTTTTTTTTACTTAATCTAATTTATTAAAATTTATAAAAAATAATTCTAATTCTAAATTTACTTGAAAAATATATCTTAGCTGAACCTTATTAAATGCTTACTCAATCTTTTTTGCGTTTTAAAGAAAAGTTTTCTAAGAATTTTGATTCAAATAATCGATCTCTTAGAAAAAGAAACAAACCCTCATAAAAAAAGATTGATCTCTTCCTTCAAAAGATTGATCCCTTGACCAGAAACAATAAAATGTTTTAAAAAAATCGATCCTTTAATTAATTTATTATTTTGAAATTTTTTTTTACATAATTGGGTGATTAAAATAGAACTATAGGAACTTGTGAGTGACTAATTCGTAGTTTACGGTAAACATTTTAATAAAAATAATTAATTTATTACGTTTTAATCAATGGTGATTTTGTTGCTTTTTATAATTAAGAAATGAGTAAATTACAAGATTGATCATTTTTATTTAAGTTTTGTATACATTTCTTCACTGAATTTAGAAAAAAAAATATAATATTTGATTATTATTTTTTATTTAATTAAGATGTATTCACTGATGATTAACTGTCGTTAGATTTTTAATAGATTATTGACTGATTTTTATAGGATTATTGACTTTATACGGTGAATTTAAAAAATTTAAAAGGGTAAATTATACAAATAGTCACTAATATTTGAATAAGTTTTCACTTTTTTTCCCATTAAAATTTTAAAAATAACAAATTAATTGAGATCATTTTATGGTATATATTTGAAAATGATCTGAACCAATACTGAACTCCACTAGTACAAAAGGAAGTAGTTGAAGCATTGCCAACTGTTATCATCCTAGACAATTTATAATATTCGATATGTTTGGAGTCTATTAAGATTGGAACCGAAGAAAAAGAGATGTGTGTAAACATGAGTTTCACAATGTTTTTTAAATTTAGTGATTTTTTTTTTACGTAAATGAGAGTGATTGATCATGTAATTTACTGTTAAGAAATTGAAAAATTACCCTAAAGACTATTTTAATATTTTACTCAAACATGTGGATGGGTCAAACTTCCAGTACATTGATTGGATGTAAAGTTCATAAACGGCGAGGTAGTAATTAGTAAACTGGTTGGGTGACACAACTTATGAATATTTTTAAGGATTTACACAAACTTTTCTTACGTCTTCTTTGATAAACAAACACAAATTGTTAAACTTCTTTGAGAAATCCCTAAACCAAACCCTTCCTCTCCAACATGCCAGCGGTGTTGGAAGAATTTGAGCCAATTTTCGGCCAACCCAAGGTCGAATGGACGGGTTCAAATTCGGGTTTGGGCCAATCAAGCGAGTTCGTTTTCTACCTTCATTCTCCGGATCCATCTCATCTAAGGATTTGTGTCACTGATTTCCGCGACGCCACTTGGGAGTCCGTACGCTCGGTTTCGCAGCTTGATGACATGGTTTTCTTCTTCTTTTGCTTTGAAGGGTTTATTTACTGATTTCTTTATTTAGTTTTATTTTTTTTCAATAATGGTTTAATGTGCAGAGGGACAGTGTTGGAATAGGCGGCTCTTGGTCTGACTTCATTCACTATATTCTAGCCTCCGTTAAGTCTGAGGATGTAAAGCTTCTCTTGGAAGCATTGCCTGATTCAAATGGTAAGCAATAATGATCATTTTTATTTGTTCTATTTGACCATCTGTGAAACTGTATTCTTAATCTTTAGCTCTTGTTCTAGCAGCTAATTTTGAGTTTCTAGCTGCCCAAATTAGCTTTTTTTTGTTGAATTTTGCCTATTTATTTCAACTTTTTGTTGAAAATTTTTAACATTGTTTTTATTTTATATTTTTCTGAAATAATTAGCGATAAAAGAATTTTTGGTGGTGGATGTTCCGTTTACACACTTTACATAGATTTTGGATAAATAAAATTTATGATATGAAAATGAAATATATGATGTCAATTATTGATGCATCATTTCTTTACTTTATATCACCAATTTTTATTATCAATTGCATGAAAAGTGCCCTATGTAATGGTTAGTGATCTCATATCCATCATGCTGTTAATATTTGTCCAAGAATTGACCAAAATAAGTATGATGCCAAAATTCAACAAAATTTATAATGGTAAGTTTGATGATTCTCTCTTGAAATCCCAATTGGAAGCACCAGCTAGTGTGTTGGAAGGGCTTCCTACTAAACTTGCCCCTGTAAAAGGATTCTAAATAACTTTCATAGACTGAAACTCCAGTTGAGCCAAGTTGGCTCTTGAGACTTGCTTGGAAGGATGAAGAAATTTAGACTTAGGAGGATTGAATTATTCTTTTCAAAATTCCGCTTTGTAATGATTTCATTTCAAATGTAAATCTTTTGGATTTAAGAAAAAAAGAATTTGCAAACAAAGTTCAATTATTGTGATATTCGTTCTTTCTGTGATTCAGATACTAAATCTGCAAAGTTAGTTGCTCAGAAATCAAAAGGAATGCCTCGGATTTCCTTTTCTCTTACAAAACTTACTGCTTCTGCTGCTTCTGACGCTATGGCTAATCTTTCACTGGAACTTTTTAAAGCATTTAAAGGCTTGCAACATCTATTTATTCAAGGTCCTATTCTCTATCCTCATTCTTGGAATCCTATGTCATTATTGTTTGCGATTAGTTACAAATATTTTCATTTCAAAAGTGGATTTCTTTATTTTTTTTATGAGATAATATCTCTGGTTCTGGAATTAATTATTATTTCCGTTTTGTTTTTCTCTTAGAACAAGAGCGCTGTTTGCAGTTGAAAATAATGTTATCAGCTGAAAAGGTATTCATGCTTCTTTTCTTGAAATTCCCCTTTCTGAAATATAATCCGTTTTGGTTTTGCTATAGATAGATGGACAAGTGCTTATCCCTCTGGTAGCAGATGTGTTTTTAAGTCGGCATATGCTGTATTTTTATTAAAACTTTTAAAGTTCATTACTATGTAGCTATAATGAATGATAGTATTGTAAAGTCTTTCTATTTACCAGGAAAAGAATGAAACCATTCAGAGCCAATTAGAGCTAAATTCGAAGAGGCAAAAGTTACAAAAGACAATGAATTCATTAGACAAAGCAGATGTTTCTGCTCCTGGCCAAAGTTCCCCAGGTAAATGTCGTATTCACTTCTGCAAGATGCCTTTGTGATTTTTTCAGGGTTCGTATGTTAATTTTGTATTTACAGTTTAGCGGTGAATTCGTTACAATATGATTTAGGTCGGGTTTGAAAATCTTGAGATTATTTTCACAGTGGAATCTGGATGGTAGTTTCTTTATTTAAAAAAGAATGAAAGAAACTGGGATGCTAGGTTTGCAGTAAGAGTGGCTCCCAAAATTTGAAGTGTGCTTATATTGTTATATCAATGATTACCAAGATACTCTGTCAAAGGGAATGTAATTGTAGACAGTCAAATTAGTAAATCATGATTAATAAGCTTCGATATCGTTGCAAGGTACTTATTTGAAACCAATGAGTTTTATTGCTTGTTCCAAGGGAGGAGGGGACAGTGACCGTCTCTCATTTTCTCTCGGTTATTTCTACTTCCCAAATCTTCAAAAGTTTGTCCTTCTTTCTAAGAATCTGTTTACTAAGAGTTTGACTTTCTTAATTTTCTGTTTTTATTTCTTTTATATCCCTAAATTTGAACTGTCTTGGAATTGGTTTCACGAGCAACTGTTTTTGCCTCTTTTCAAACTGGACTCCAGACAAACATGCAGCTCAGGACCCTAGCCCAGCAAAAGTGACCAAACGTGCTGTACCTGCACGTCGTAGGTACTTTTCATCGTACTTATTAAGATACACAATTCCACTGAATGGGTCGATACCGATGACCTAAATTTGGTGTTGACAGGGCAAAAGTGAGGGGTGTCGTTTTGCAAGATAGTGAAAATGAAAAAGATGGCTAGAACATAAGGCGCTCTTGTCAATCTTACAATCCAACTAACGTCGCCATTTTCGTTTACTATACAAAGGTAAAGTTTTCACGTTGATACGAAAGAAAGAAGTGAAGTTACAGTATTAAGGCTGTTTGCTGCATTGCTAGCCTTCTCCTGCTGTATATTGTTTACCAAATCTGAATGTGACTTATGTTGCCATTTGTGCTCTTGAAAAATTGTAGATAGTTGGCCTAATTTCTTGCTCAGAATTGTACATATCAGTATCTTTTAAACCTGCTATTTATTGTGCTGGAAGACATGCATAAAAGATTTTAGTTTATCACAAATTCGGAAGTAGTAGCTGTGTTTGCAAAGTGTTTTTTTTAACTTGAACGTAAAAGCTGAGATTTCTACATTTGAAAAAGTGCTTTTTAAAGTCGAATTGTAGTTTTAACCTTCATTTGTTATCCAATGGTACGCTTATTTTATAATTTATTAAAACTTATTTAAAACTTATATTTTTTTTATCAAGACATAATTATATAATTAATAAACTGTTTATGGGTTTAAAATTTTATATCTTTTCATTCTAAGTTTTTTGTATAAAATTATTTTGAATTTTAGATATTTTCATAAAAACACATAATTATTAAAAATATTTTGTTTTTTTCAATAAAAATATTTTTATATATTTTTATCATAATTGAAGTTGATATATTTTTTGTTATAAAATTGAATTTTTTTTATTAGAACATTAAAAAATTAAATACCATCTAAATTAATTTTTTAACTTATAACATCATAGCTAAAATGATTATTTATTTTTTAAAAAATATTTTTTATAATAATAATTCAAAAATACTTCTCAAAATTACTTTTCAAAATTATATTTTCACGACACTTAAAAAAACAGTACTAAACAAATAATTTGACAAATATTTTAAATGCATGATGTCAAAGTTGATCTCTAACGTTTGATAAAATAATTATTTTTGACATATCTTTTTAAAGGACAATGCTCTCAATATTTCATTTTAAGGAATCCAATTGGATGAAATCATTAATTGACTAACAATTAACGTTTGTCGTTTATGTGAAAATTTTTATGTCCATAGTAATGATGTGATATACATTACGTGTTCATAATAGTGATGTGATATATATCACATCATCATCTTAAACGCATAGCACGTCACATAATTATTCGAACAAGTGTGTATCACATCATTGCTTTGAACACATGACTTGTTACTTCAACAACAAATGTAGATTTCTAGTCAACTAACAATTTCTATTCAACTATGAATAATTTACTTCAAAATAAAACATTGAGATCAAAATATTCTAAAAAATACGAGCTAAAATATTCTTCAATTAGACGTTAGAGACAATTTTTTTTTACATTATGCCTATCTTTTAAAATCTCTTTCACCCCGCTTGAGGCTTTCAAACAACCACTACCACTACCTACCAACTTCGTCGCCAGCCACAACAACACGTGTCGGGCCAGTCGCCACCGGGAGAAGGATCTTTGAAGCTGAAGGTGTGATTGCTCTTTCCTCTGACGCTTTTGCCACCGTCCTCCGCCAGACCTTTTATTCCGCCACCTGCATGGGACTCTAGGACATCCTCAAAACAAAAACGGATGAGACGAAAACCATACTTCTCGCACAATATCGCCACCATAAGTTAAACAAGTGCGTGGAATTTTTTTAAAAGAAAAAGAAAAACCAAATGCTTACAAAGTAAATGAGTTATTTTTCCTAGTTGAATGACCAAACTAGAAAATCACCAATAATCGAGTAACCATGTAATCCTTGATTGTTTCAATCCAAAATGGTCATACAATATGGAATCCTACACGATACGACTTTGAGAAACAATGCTATACGCCCACTACATGGAGATTGAGTTTCATATGTAAATGCATAATCAAACAGTAAATAATTGTCAGAATTGGGAGAGAACCACCGTGCTCGGGTTAGAGATTTCACTATCAGCAACAACCGCTCGCAGCTTCATCAGATTGTGGCAGCTTCTGTTTGAAGATGTTCTTTTTCACACCTTTGGAGCCCTCCGCCAAAAGGCTCGGAGTTTCTAGAATCTGCATTAAAAATGCCATAATCACCAGTCCTTAGCTAAGGAAACCTTTTCAAATACATAAGAGCAATCATAAAGAGCTAAAACAAAAAAAAAATGCCCGCTTAAACTGCTCCTGTTTCCACTATAATATTGAATCGACTGCTATAGCATCCATTACGTTTAGTTACAATAAACACGATTGATTGAGAACACATTCATAACTGCAATTTAAATCCCAGTTTAAAATATATTTGACATCGTTTCACTAAAATTTATTTCTTGAACTAGGCATTGTGGACGACTGCATATACCAGAACAGCGGTTAATTTCAGTACCTTCATAACAAGTTCGTCGAAGCACTGCTGTACGTTAACGCGTGTTTTAGCACTACATTCAATGAAAAGACAACCGCATTCTCTAGCAAAGTTTATTCCCTCTTTCTTTGTTACAACCCTCTCACTTTCCTGAAAAAACATTGATAAAGGTATATAAGGAAAATTCTCAACCAAGGAAAGATATATTTGAAAAAACCATTCCAATGGCTCAAATTCATGATACCAAATTACTAAGAAACTGAAATAATTTTAAGTAATTATACAGAACAGATTCGATGTTAATGAAAATATGAATACCAAATAAAACCCTGAAACAGATCTACAAATACTAAAAATAACAATTGAAATCATAAAAGTAGACAAAATAAAACAAATCTCCAAGTAAGCATGTTCTTGTAATGCATCATACAGAATAAAATGACAATATTATTAGATAGTGTCTTTCAGATTAATAATATGGTGTCATCATTGATATTTGATGTAATTATGTGGCGTGCATACAAATCTGAACATGGAAGTAAACTGGTGTCAGAAGAGACAAACATGTAATTAGGTTATCAGACGTAATTGCCATCAATGTATGTCATTGATAAAGTGTAATAGCACAAACAATTCCCATTCCTCACCAAGCCTCAAATATGTAGCAAAACTGCTTAATTTGATTTTCCATAGGTGTCATAGAGAAAAACAACTGTATGTTATAAGAGACAATGATCAACACTATTAAGGACTGTGGGGGGGACATCTAAATAGGGGGAGAAGAAGGCAAAATGTTAAAAGGAACGCTCATTTTGAACCAAGACCTAAGCGTCATACAGTCAAAAGGGGAAACTAGAGTTCAAAGATCTCAATTAAGTTACCTTATCAACTTTGTTTCCAACAAGCATCTTGATGCAGTCTTGATTTGTCGAGTAGAGTTCAACTTCCTTGGCCCAGATTTCAGAAAGATTAGTAAATGTCTCCCTCCGTGTTACATCACAAACTGTTAAAATCAGAGAAAATCTCAAATTGTGATTCTCCAAACAAGTTAAGAGCAGAAATACATGATAAGTCTTAAAATTGATCAGAATGATAATAATTAAATATCACATTAATGCACACTTAAAGTGCTTAGAATTGAAAAGCATCTAATCTTTAACCCAGGCCAGGGCAATATGTAAACATAGTAGCTACAGCTAAAAAAAAAAGCAAAGACTACAAGAGGGAAAAGAAAGTGCATTTTAAGCTGAAATAAACATGATTTTAACCATGACACAGGAGCTACTACTATGCTATTTTCTTATTTCATTTTTATCTTTTATTTAATAGGCATAAGGAGTTAATGGCTACTATTACAAATTATCTTACCAAAAGGTAGTCTTGATGATGAATCTGATAATGGAGGATGAAAAACCCTTTAATGATGCAAGGCCAAAAAACCGTGCAATACTATGTGAATTGGAGCAGTTGGTGCGTGCCCTTAAATTAAATCAGTTGTAGATTTTCATGGTAAGATGCATGTGAAAGGGCGCAAGGATAGCATGCTACACCCTATTTATGATGTGTATGCTATTGTTGGGTGGGGGGGTGAGGGGAGGAGTGAAGAATTTGATGTTTCAGGGAGAGTCTTTGGTTGTTCATAACTTCAGGGAGATTCTTAGGTTGTTCATAGAGTGATGACAGCCACAGCCTCATATGAAGGGAGGATTGGAGGCGAACTGGTAAAAAATTGTCTATCTCGAGGGACACAAGGTTGGGTGATGACTCTAAAAAGGCATAAAAAAGGAGCTATTAAATAGATTACAAAAGCTTTTTTAATTTACTTCAAAATCTAAAGGTTCATGTAACCTACATATTTCAAGAGGTCCTACTTCCATTGTACTTGTTTTCAATCTTAGTTCTATGGTTTGTTGCTTTCTTTCATTCTAAACCACGCCAATCCACTTAACATTTTTTTTGGGGGGGGGGAAGATTAGGATATAAGAGACACACACATATACACAAAGAGACATTAGAGCAAAACAATGCTGATTTCACTTCCACAAATTTACAAAAAGATAATCTACTCAAATGAGAAACTATAGTAATTTACCAAAAGAAAAGAGAATGAAGGGCACAGGTTTTGTATGAGGAGCAGTTTTACAATTAGAAACAGGGATAATAATTACCCATAATGACCCCTTGTGCGCCTCTGTAGTAAGAGCTTGTCAATGTTCTGAATCTTTCCTGCCCAGCTGCATGCATATTCAGAATAGATTAGTCAGACTGAACCGGGGGGAATTTCCCCCCTACATGAAGTCATGAGCAACAAAAATAGCCACTTTCCATCATGCAAAACTGATTTGCATCATAACAAATAATCAGATCAATAAGGATTCTTATAGCAATAAGACCAATCATTAAAGGCCCAATAGATTAATCTAAATAGCAAGTCTAACCAAATTAAATGATGCACAAGATGACACAATAATTACCACATAATTGCGTCATTCACAAATATTTCCACAAAGGACCTGCATGCATCTCAATTTACTGATTTTAAAGGTAAAAAAATGTCCAGACCATTGCAATGACATTTTTGAAGTAACCATAAAGATCGGATTCAGTAATGCAATTTTCTATCCCAAAGCACAACAAGATTAAGTTGGCTCTTAAAATTTCATCACGGCCATGCCAAATATGAGAGCATACATTGCCTTTCTGCCTTTTCATTTTCACTTTGAAAAAGCTACAAAAGCATATCAAATGTACAGGCAAGTTAAAATGAGTTCCACCAATGGAAAAATCTCTATTTGAAGGCATTGCAAAGTATGGAAAATTAATATATTGATGTGGTAGCATACCCGATTCCCATATGTTCCAGTTCTTTTATTCTTTTCCTATTTTTTTCTTTTAATGACTAATAAAAAATAATAATAAAGAATGAATAGCAGCCAGCTACCTCAACTCCGAGTGGTGTTCCCCCTACCACAATTCATCTATGATTCTTTAATATCAGTACAATAGGAAATAGCAAAAGCATTACTCAAACAGAGCTTGAGTATACTAAAACACTCTTGAGGCTACTCTCAAGTTAATATTTTGTTAATATGCTGCTTGTCAGAAATAAGTGACCATTTAGCAACACCTGTACACCCCCCCCCCAAAAAAAAAATTTCTAAAAAGTCCATTGCACTCATAAAATATAGGTGAGAAGAAACTTAGTGGTTTGAGAAATAAGAACAAAGGTCTCCCTTCTAGAGAAGCTCAACAAAAACTTGATAAAATTACAGGTGATAGGTTAACAGGGAAACAAAGCAAAGTAACCCAAACATCACCATATATGATGTCACTGTGATACGCCAACTTTTTACCAGGATTTAACTTATAAAGATAAGAAAAGTCAAATAATATATACAGATTCAAGTTATATAGAACAAAAGTAGAGAATGCAGCAATCACTGAAAACCCACTTCCATCATATATGAATCTTAAAATCCAAGAGAAAACAGACATAATACATTAGTGAACTTTAGGTATAACCTGTATCCCAAATTGCAAGCTTCAGCTTTTTATCGCCAGCATTTACATATTTCACTTTAAAATCAACACCTACACAAGAAAATAAGTAGATTCTAAATCAGGGCATAAAGATGTAAGCAGATTAGTGAATCTTATAATCAAGTGAATGCATTGAAGGCTTACAGAAATCCAACGGGACGGTTTTGATTGATAAAACTAGAAAATTACGAGTCACAAAAACATCCACACAAAAGTAAAATCATATATTTTCTTTTATAAAAAAAGAAAGTTATTTTTTCAACTTTCATCAAAATTATTTTTGCTAATCCACCTTTTAATCTGAAAATGAAAAGAAAATGAAGCCTATACAACTTAATGTTCCACGGATCAAGACACTGCCATTATAGGTTATAAGACATAAAAATGGAAATATATTTGACGAGTGCAGTTAAAAATGAATACTGACCAATAGTGGGAGAGAGATCCTCAAAGAAATCGGAAGCGAAACTTAAAAGAAGACTACTCTTTCCAACTCCTGAATCTCCTATCATCAGCAACTTGAACAAGTAATCGAATTCCGGTTGACTCGACGAAGACTCCATTTGCTAATTAATTTACCAAATAAACTATCATCAAAACAATTCTTTCAAATAACGCCAAATTTTTACGATCGGATCTCCCAAATCCAGCCCTCTCTCTTTTTTACCTCGTCAACGAATCTAAATCTGAAAACCAACATGACATCAAATCATGAATATAGATTTGGATTCCAACTAGATAAAAGCTTAATCTAACATAATCCTATACTTTATCACAAAAAAATGAGAAAAAAATTCTTACAGGTTTAGATCATTATCATCAAACATATTTATAGATTTTATTTCATATATCAAAATTAAAGATAATCTGAGAGATTACCAGAGGAAAAATAAGTGGAGAAGATGATATTATGGAAGAGAGAGTGACCCAGATTTTGAAGGATTAATAAAAAAAAAGGGTAAAGTATATAAATAGTTTCCCAAATTTTTAGGTATCTTTCATTTTGGTCACCTAATTTTTAAAACTTGTAATATAATCATTAAACTTTTAATTTGTTTTCAAAATGGTCCCTGCCGTTATCTCCGTGGATTTTTTCTGACGTGGCACGTTAATTCCGTTAAAACAACACCCCCTCCCCCAGGTCTTCTTCTTCTTCTTCTTCTTCATTCTTCATTCTTCCTTCTTCCTATTTCCTTCTTCTTTCTTTCTTTTTTTCTTCTTCTTCTTCTTGCACAGTGGCTATGAAAACCTCGCAACTGTCATCTTTCTCCGTTCGATCCGCTCCAGTTTCTTCACACTTACATAGATACTAATATTGGTACTTTTCTTCTCTCTCTCAATTAGTGAAAGTACCAACATAATTGAGTTTCTTGTTAGTATGTTTTAGGAGTTAATTGAAGCAACTAGGGTTCTGATATATAAAAGAAATAAACTTTAGATGTGTTGTACTGGACGTTGAGATCATGTTGTGCTTTATCACTTTCCCTTAATCAATATTCAACAGTGTAGGGTTTGTTGGTGATTCCCTAAACAGAAACATGTATGTGTCTTTGTTTTGCACTCTGAGACGTGTCTCCGATGATGTGAAGAAATGGTTGTTGGAAGTCAAAGTTGGATGGCAACACATGCAACACATGGGCTGCTAAATAGGTGGCTGCCTAATTTTGTTGAATTTAGGCTTGGTTTAATCACACATTTAGTCATTGCACTTTAGGGTATTTTCAAAGATTAGTTCCTAAGCTTCAACTATAAATACCGTAGCTCATTTAGCTTCAAAATCATCCAAAAAATCATTTCTTTCTCCCATTACTAGAGAGTTTTCTTGTGAATAGTGAGTCTTTTGTAAACACCTGTAAATTTTCTCTCTTTTAGTAAAAGATCTGCAGCAGTCCGGAGATAAAAGAGCTTTTGGTTGTGAATTTTGTCAATTTTTTGCGAGGTTACTATTCATTACTATTCACGTGAATAGTGAATTTCGTGAATAGTGAAATTTTGTTGATGATACGAATTTATCGACGGAGGTGTTCTAATACACGGTGGTTCGCAAGAATTGTCAGAAACGATCCAAACGAAGCCAAATTCGAGTGGGAGCGAGAAAATTGAGAAGTTCGATGGTGCATACTTTGGCTTTTGGAAGATGCAGATTTAATGTAACACCCCAATTTAGGGGCTAAATTTAAGAAATTATAAAGTGGTGAATTTAATTGGAATTTTGGAAGAAATTGAGGATTAAATTGAAAATTTTCAAAGTTGGCAGACCGTTTTAAGAAATGCAAGAAATTTAGTGGCTAAACTATTAATTTAGCCAATTTCCTATAGAAGAGAATTATAAACTCTCCCCGTGTACAAATCAGCATAAATTTTCCAGTTTTCCCTCTCCGATCAACCAACTTTCAACTCTGATCTACTCGTCGTCCGACCTCCGATCGACGAGCCGAAACCACCATCGTGTTCGTTGTCAACCGAGGAACAAAAACCCCTCAAACCTTTCATCGTAAATTGTCGTCGTTCGTCGTTAATTTCAGTCGGAAGTATCGTCGGTAATAACTCGGTTTTAGTTGGTTTTTCATCGATTCACGACGATCGGGTCATCCGTTTACGACACCTCCCGCACCATCGTGTTCCTTGCATCGTTCCGAGTCTGCCGGTGTCATTCTTGGTCTCTGTCGACGGTGGTGCGTGAGGAGGTGAAGCGAACAAAGTTTTTGATTTGTTGAAATCGAGCTCTCTGCCGTTCAAAATTGTGAAACGAGCTTTGTAAGTATCTCGGAATCGCTTAAAATAATTTTTAGGAATTTTTCCGGGAATTTAGCACTGTTCACGCGCCGCCACTGCGCGTGGGGAAGAAAAAAATGACCGGTTTGACCAGTTTTGCTCTTATTTTGACCGGTTTGACCGGTCATAACCCGACCCGACCCGACCCGTTGACCATTGATCGGCGTTGACCACTGTTGACCAAAACTTTGACTGGCTTTGACCGGGCATTAAACGACCTTTGACTTTGACCGAGTATACTTATCCTGATATTTTTCGACGTTCCAAATCCGATTCCGTAATCCGTTTTTTAGAAATTCAAACCCGAAGGCCTCGAAATTGCCGGTCAAACTCGTTGACTTTGATTTTGACCGAAAATTTCAAATTTCTGAAAAGTCATATTTTATGCTTTCAACGTCCTAAATCCGAATTCGAAGTCCGTTTCGCCAAATTCGAACCCGATAAACTGGTTTTCACTGATTTATCACCTGATTCGATCCGTTTATAGTAATTAAGCTCTGTTTTTTATATAATTTATGGTGATATGTATCTGAGGAATTATTGGAAGTTGAATTGAAGATCAAAGGCGTTCGAATGGAATTTTTATGGTCGATCAGTATTGCACGAAAATCGAGGTAATACTTTACTACCTCTTTATGATTTTTGAATATGTGAATATTGGTAAATGTATGAATAAGATAATGTTGGTCTCATTTGTGTAGTTAATGAATTTCTATACTTGATCCGAATACAGTAGAAATTTGGCAACTACTTATGGTTTAAATGATTAATATAAGAAATTGATGGATTGTTAGAATTATATTATGAGTTATGTGATTAATGATAAAGGAATTATCATGGATTTGTAGCTTATAATATATCTCATTAAAGGTTAAATGTTAAAGGTACTTGGATGAGAAATTATGAGAATACTCTGATAGGGTAAAATTACAAAAATACCCTTATATTGTAAAAAGATAAGATTTGACCATGGAAGTGGGATAAGAGGTTTAAAAAGACATATTGATATGATGAAACTACTGATGTGCATAAGAAATGTTAGATTTACTTACAAAATTTGGATAACCGGTTTTTAAACCCAGGAGGGTTTGATCAAGATGCTAGAAGTCTGTTAAGGAATCATTTTAAGATCAGAGAATGTTTGGAAAAGCAATTAACCATAGGATCTTTAAATTATAATTATTTTCGTTAGGAGCTAATATCGAAATTATCTGGTTAAGAAATTAAGAAAATGCCCTTGAGAGATAAAATAGTATGAGTCGACCCTGAATGAGAAAGTACTTTGAGGATTTGTACTTAACTTGATTAAGTACGAATTTAATTGTTAAGATATTGTCTTTGTACAGAAAAATTCATGATATTCCGTTTGTAAAATCTGAGAAGACACTTGACCCGAAAATATTCGAATAATGAGTAAATACTTAAAGAGTAATTTATCGGGGGTATTCTGCGGTCAGAATTGTTCGAAATGAATGAAGTAAATGATAAGATTGATTTAAATAATAAGACAGAATAGAAAGAAAGCATTGAAATACACCGGATCTGTAAAATGACCAGAATACCCTTGTAATAGAAATGACCCAAGAATATCACCAAGTTCATGAATGATTGGATATCCTCGAGCTCTGTAATGAATGGAATAAAACTAAAAGCAAAAATGACCAAAATACCCTTATGGCCTATACTAAGTAAATGTCTTGGATTAATTAAGGAATCCAAATAAGCATAGGTATTGGATTACCTTTAAAAGTAATGGAACATATTTTAAGTGAATAGATCAACCCTAAAGCTATGTCAATACATGAATGACATAGATATTACTTGAATGCGTGTTCGTCTTCTCAAGTTTGGCTCGATGATAATTTTGGAAGTATTCAATTCAGCTCAACTCTAGATCTCATTTAGTACTAAGAATTGGACGCTTGTTCGATAAATCAACTACGAAGACCAAATTGAATGGATCGGAAGTACAATATGTATTTGAAATTAGGAACGTTTGAATTACTCTGGAAAATCCCGAAGTAACTGGAATGGACTTGAATGCTAAATGAACTAAGTAACCTTAATGACTGAGGATTAAGTAAGTGATTAGGATAAGTCTGAAAATTCGGATGAACTTACATGATGTATCATCCCTATAGATTATGAACCACAAATCAAGTACGTTAGCATTTCATGGTATCGTGGAAGCGTGAAAAGGAAATAAAAACCATTAGAGTATTTGTTCGTCTCCTTAAGATATGTTCAGTGATGACTCAAAAGTTGATTTAGGGATAATAGTTGTTGGTATTAAAGAGTGAATACCTGGTAGGACAATGAATGGACCGGTCAACATGCATTAGTTTTGGGAGTTGTTAAACTTAAGTTATTTCAATAATCCGATAAATCGACGCCGACTGTAAATGTCCTAAATCTTCATTTCTTCCTTACCAGCTCAAGTCATATTCTTAATAATTGATGATTTTGTCAGTTATTGAACTCTTCCAATAGTGATTCTGAATTCCGATATTCTATCGGTATACTGAAGATCTGTGTTCCTCTACCTGCTAAGATTATCCAGTACCTCTGAATAATTTCTGTAAACTCTGGTGTGTTCCCTAATCACCTGGATATTTTACCTGATTTCCGATTTGATTTCTATTATAATACCTTACTTGGATTCTGATCGGATACTTAACCTGGATTCTGATTGAATACTTGATCTGGATTTTGATATGATACTTGACCTGGATTATGTTATGATTTTTGATATATCCATTTACGGACGGAACATGTTTTACTTGGGGGGTAATGTTGGAGGAAGTATACATGGAGGCTCCTCGGCTGTGTGCTCAGGGCCTTACTTACCGGCTCTTCGGCTGTGTGCTCAGGGCCTACTAGACTTGACGGTGGGTGTATGGTTCTGGGGAACCTACACATTTTGGACTTGACAGATGGGGGTATATATATATATGTTTTAAAAAGATTTGAAAAGTTATATGATTTTTGGGAAAACACTAGAAAACCTGTTCTGATCTCCTGAACCTAGACATCCGAAATATTCCCATCTGAAATGAATACTATTTGTTACTAAATGCGATATCAATGGACCTCAGCTCAACTTAAAGATCTGTAAATATCTAAACCAATATGGAAAATATGTTTATCTGTATCTGCACGT